GAAACAGCACAGGAGCCCGCCAGGCTGTGCTCAGCAAGAACCGCCTGGAAGGAGCCCTCCCCGCTGGGCACAGCGCTTCCCGCCCAGGAGCGCCACCCACTGGCGGACTCGCTCTGCATGCAAAGCTCTGACTCCTGTTTTTGTTTTTTTTACAGATAGCACACATTCCCTTTAAGAGTGATGTTTACAAAGGATTTTATATCATCATAAAAAAAGAGGAAGCCAAAAATGTGGCAAAGGGGAAATAAACAGCAAAAGATGCCCGTGTTCTTCCCCCAGCGACGTTGGGCAGTCGCCACCCTGAGCACCTGTCGTGGACGGGCCCTGCCCGGGTGCTGGGCGGTACCCCTGGGGCTGTGGGTAGGGCTGTGGGTGGGTCGGGGCGTTAGTAGCCCTCCTGGAGGAGCAACCCCAGGGCATGGAGAGGGCGTGGCTCTGGGCAGGAGCTGGGGCTGGGCCTGGCCTGCCTGGCTGGGTGTGCAGGAGGGCTGGGGGACGGCACGCTGACTCTGGGGGACCTCCGGGGCCTCCAAAGACACGCGGACGCCATCGCAAAGGCCCTGAGAGGCGGGTGCCCAGCATTTCCTCATTTCCAGGCCTTCCCCGTGCCGGCTGGAGGGGGACAGGGGCAGCAGGGGCAGCTGTGGGCACTGCAGAGCCAGGGCAGAGCGGGCAGTGCCGTACTAAAGGGACGCAGCAGCGAGTCACCCCGGGGGCAGCTGGACAGTCTTTTCCCCGCAGCCCAGCCGGGGAGACTGGTTGCCAGGGGCCAGAGGGTAGGAGCGGCCTGTTCGGCTGGCCTTGCCCACTGACCAGAGGGCAGGACCTGGGGATCCAGGAGGAGCCAGAGAGGCCTTCTCACCCGACCTCCTCCAGAGATGAGGGTCCCACGAGGCAGGCAAGGCCCCCGGGGACCCCGCTCGGCTCTGGCAGAGGGACTGGACGGGGGACCCAGAAGTGCGGGTCCTGCTGCGAAGGGAAGTCCCAGGCGGGGTGGCAGGACTCCTCGGGTGCCGACTCGGCCAGGCCCTGCCCACCAGGAGAGGCTGAGGGCACGTGCAGATGCTGACGGGTGCTGAGGGCCGCGGCACACGTGTCCTGTGCCTGCAGTGTGAGGTCTCTCAAGGCCGGGCAGACGGGTGAGTCTGTAGGTGAGCCTGGCCTTCCAGGTGGCACCCAGTCGGGCAGTGCGGGCCCCGGGCAGCTAGCGAGGGCTTTCCTGCTAGAGAAGCGGGAGTGGCGCCTGCACAGATCCATCACCAGGTTCAGGCTCCACATGCCCTCTCCGCAGTCTCAGATGGCGCTGCCCACGCGTGTCGGGAGTGGAGGCCTCGGACACAGACCCCAGCTAACAGCAGCCCAGGCCGGAGGGCCTCTCACTCCCCTGGGTCTCGGAGGGGCTTCCCTCCATCCCTGGAAGGAGAGAAGTCACTTGGCATGAACCAGGCACCTGCAGGGACACGGGACAGGGCCCCCACCCGATGCCCTCTGGTGCCTGCTGGTCAGAGGTCAGAGGCCTCCAGGCCTCTCATTCAAGGCCGGGCATGGGGACACATTCTGGGTGATGGGCAAAGCTAGGTGCTAGGAGAGCCACAGCCAGGACACACCGTGGGGCCTGGGTGCCAGCCTGCCCGTGGGGAGACTGCCCGGCGGACAGGGGAGCAGCGAGGGGGTCTGAGCTGGCAGGCGGGGTCTGGGAGGCTGCGGGCCTGGGGTCAGAGTGCCGGAGGAAGGACGGCCCGCGGGGGTGGGAGGATGGTGGAGGTGGGTGTGAGGCCACAGCCTGCCTCCGGCCCTGTGGCCTGTACGCACGGATGAGGTCTCCGTCGCCGACCAGGAGCCGGCAGCCGCTCCTCCTCTCCAGGGCCTGCAGCACCGACTGCTCGAACGCCAGGGCGGCCACGCGGCTGAAGAAGGCCGTCACATTCTCCCCTGCGAGCCCAGGACACAGCTGTGACCGCCCGCCTCGGGTGGGGGCTGGGACAGGTGCCCGGGACCCACGCGGCTGAAGAAGGCCGTCACATTCTCCCCTGCGAGCCCAGGACACAGCTGTGACCGCCCGCCTCGGGTGGGGGCTGGGACAGGGCGGTGCCCGGGACTGGCCTCCAGCCCCGCCGCTGCCTCAGATCTCTGCCCCCGGGCTTCCCACAACCTATTCCTCCCGTGGGGACGTGCGGGAGGGCCCTGCTCTCCTGGAACCTGGGAGCACCAGTCCAGGGCCAGCTAGGAGGATGGGCACGTGCGGCCAGCCCCACGCGGAGCCTTGTGAGTCCTCCTCCAGGTGGAGGCTGCCCATTCGGGCACAGGACGGGGGTCCAGGGCCCTCACACTACCCTGTGCAGCCACAGCCTGCACGATGGCACAGGGGCATTCTGCTGGGCACCCAGAGCCCTCGGGGAACCTGCCGCCATCTGGTGAGAGAGGGGGTCCTCCCAGGGCATGGGGGTGCCATTAGGCAGGAGCAGAGGGCACAAGTGCCTGGGCGGGGCCTCCCCCATCCCTGGCCCATGTCTGCAAGGACCACCGTGTGGTGTAATTCCTGCCCCACAGACCCTCTCTGCACCAGGCACTCACTACGTGGCATTGTCGAGTTTTTCTCGGTGAACACGTGGGGCTTTTGCAATTTCAAACATGCTTTTCCATTAAAAATAAAATGAGATGAACAGCATCACCTGCTTCCCAGACAAAGACACTGAGGCTCAGAGACGCTGGGCATCTTGCCGGGGCCACGGCGAGCAGTGCCCCCGGGGAAGGCGGCTCAGGGCCCAGGGCCGGATCCGGGGGGATCTGGCTGAGGGCTGGAGGCCATGAATGAGGTTCGTATCTCCCATGATGACACCCAGGAGACGGATGGCAGCCCCCAGTTGCTGGGCCCCGCTGTGTGCCAGGGGGTGCCCCCCTGCCCCCGGGCACCCACAGGTGCGGGCAGGGCACTGCAGCGGTTACAGTGAGGGCTGGGTTCCAATCCTAGACCTGGCACGGCCGCCCCGGGACCCTGGAAGCCACTTCCCGGGGACAGAACTGACTCGCCCAGAGGGTCGGGGTCGCTATTCCCACGGCCATTGGGCAGGGTCCAGTCTCCCTAGAGATGAGGGGCTGCTCAGGCATGGGAGGCCCTGCCCGGCCATCCGCACAGCCGGCCCCGAGCCCACTCACCCGTCTTCGCCGACACCGACCAGTACTCGGCCTGCAGCTGGTTGGCCAGGTGCACGGCCTCCCCCTCCGCCTGCTCACACGCCGCCCTGGACTGGGGAAGCGGCCCTTCTAGGAGGCGCCGGGAGGTGGCTGCCGCCTCCCACTGGGCCTCCCTCCCCACCTCACCCTGGGCAGGCGGCCCCAGGGCAGGGGTGAGACCCCAGCAGCCACGGGCAAATCTGAGTGCCAGCCGTGCCCCCTGAGAGGAGCACCCCTAACTTTCAGGTCCCGGGCCTGTGCCTTCGGATCCTCACCGAACCACGCCAGGCCGCCCTCCATCCCATCCCAGGCTTGGGCTGGAAGCAGATCCATTT